GGGGAATTCTGGGAGTTGAAGTCCATACATCTTAAAGTTGCTAAGGTTGAGACACCTTAGCTTAGAGATTTCTTTTTATAATTTATAGGGTGAATAATAATTGTACTTTTTACTATTTATAGCTTTTAGCATTCATAGGTATGTTAGCTGCTTGGTAATATCATCTCACTCCACTAATTGTTATCTAGAATGAAAGCGAACTGGAAACTGAGAAACAGTCATGATCTAAACTTTGTTTTTATAACTAATCACTAGACAATCTATAGCACCTTGGGAAAAACCTTACAGTCACTAAAATTAAGTTCACATACAACATTAAGCCAAATATAACTTAGCATGCTTGTTTGTGAATTAATGTGTTATATGAACTCAGCTCATGGAGTTTACTAACCATGCTAAATGGGTCAGCCAATTTCATGAAACCATCCAATCATGGTTTATTCAATAAGCCACAGGTGGTCAATCTTCTTTAGCCTGCAGGCCACATTGTTTCCTTCAGTTGTGATTGATTGATGGATGTCACATTTATATTGATTTAGAGCTGCAGGATAATTTTTGCCCCTTAAATCCCCCCCCCCCGAAATTGGGAAAGAACTCCTTGGATTTGGAATTTGGGGGGTACCAAATACAGTTGTCCACCTCTGAAATAAATCATGGTTAAACAAACTATCATTTAGCATGTTGTGAGACACCCCCCGCCCTTCAGTGTGGGCTGTATATTTTAACAAACTCAGTCCTGAGCTCAGTTTGGCATTTTTTTCAGATCAGTGCCTAAAGCTAAGCCTCAAACTATACATAATCAGTTAGTAGATTTCAACTTTGATATCTACTTTGGTGTGCTTGTCTTACTAGACATTTACCAACTAGAACCTGATGTGAAAATCAAAGTCTCTATTCCTGAGATTAGATTTAAATTCTAATCTCAGGAATTTACTCTGCATGGCAAAACCAAATGAAACTTGATTCATTCCACACAAGCATCTACTCCTTCATATTAGTTATAACATGTTGGATACGGAGGTAATTGTTAACTGTTGCTACAGTTAAACAATCTCTGGAGAAGGCTCTAATTCTGGGAAAGGTGGAAGGAAAGAGGACACTCAGCAGCAAGGTGGATGGACTCAGTCACAGCAGCCATGAGTGCACCATTGGAAGAGCTGAAGGACCAAATTAGGGACAGATCATCACGGAGAAAAACTATCTAGTGGTTGACACTGATTTGATGGCACATAACCAATTACAGTTAAACAAACGAAGTCTGAAATCCTTGCAAACAATTATAAACTATGCACAGATCTACAAGATAATCCAGATCTACCTTCTGGCAACCCTTGCTATATATAATTCCTACCAATAGATGATACTCTGTCAAGTCAACCCTTGTGCTTGATTTTATTTATTTTATTTATCAAATTTATATAGTTGCCCATCTCACAGAAAAGTGACTCTGGGTGGCTATGATTTTGTTAGAACATTTTAGGAGCTAGGATGCAGGACTGCTTCATACAAAAATGATTATTTTCATTGTAAAAGGGTAGAATGAACATTGCAGTTTCCCACATTTATTTATTTAAAATATATAGCTGTCCATCTTGTACCAAACTCTGGGTAGCTCACAATCAAGAGATAAAATCACATCTACTTACAATACCAATATTAAAACCAAATATATTAAAACCAAAAAAATATTAAAACCAAAAAACCCCAGGTATCATAACTAAACTTAGCTCACCATATCCCAGTCCTTAGGGGAAAACCCAGGTCTTGAGTGCTTTTTGGAAGGTTAAAAGGGTGGGGGCCTGCTGAATTTCTGGGGGGAGGGTGTTCCATAGGGCAGGGGCTGCCATGGAAAAGGCATGCTTCCTAGGTCCCTTAAGATGGCAACATTTAAGGGAAGGGAGTAGGAGTGTGCCCACCCTGTTCGATCTAGTAGGACGGGCAGATGTCCTTAGGGACAGGCATCTGTACTTGGAGGAAATCTTCTTGGAGATCTTCTACTTGGAGGAAACAATCAAATGCCTTCTAGCTGCTTTGCATTTCAAGTTCTATCTGTCACGGCCAAGATGGCGAGAAATGGTAAATATTGCAGCAAAATCTGGAAGGCACCAGGCTGCCTATGCCAACCTAACTTGGTTAGAGGGGTACGCTGCTGCTGGTAAGTTCGTTTCTAAAATTAGAATGTGTTTATGGAAAAACATTTTCATGTCAGACCAGCAATGTTAAGACAGATCTTGGGGGAAAAATAAACAGGAAAGAACTTAAAAGAAGCGAAAGAAACTAGAGTGAAAGCAGAATGACTGCAGGGAGAGAAAGCACGAGCGCTGTATGAAAAAGCATTAAAAGCCTTCGACAATACATTAAAAGCCAGATTAATTTCCCAGCAGGATGAATAGAAAATTGACATAAGGATGTGGAAGCTCCTCAGGAGAGAGTGAAAAGAATGTTACCAAATGTCACAGAAATGTGTAGAAATATAGGAAAAGGATGCTTAGTGGAAAGATGAAGTGAAAAAGGCAGTGGATGAGAAAAAATGCATGTAAGAGAAGAATTACTATAAAAAAGAAGATATTGTATAATACCGGTAGTCCCCCTCAGCAACCACAATAGGGACCGACAACTCCATCGCTAGGTGCCACAGTCGCTAAGCGAAAAATCATGTGACCGTGCACTTATGATGTTACTTTTGCTTCTGTTGTTAAGTGAGTCATTGCAGGTTGTTAAGCGAGACATCATTCCATTGTTAAGTGAGCATGATTTGTGATTTTACTGCTGGCTTCTCCATTAACTTGGAAGCCAGTTGTGAATCACACAAATGGTGATTACATGACTGCAGGACACTGCAACAGTTGTAAATACCCACTGGTTGCAAAGCCCCCAAATGTTGATTGTATGCCCGCAGGGATGCCGCAACAGCTGTAAATGTGAGGCTTGGTTACAAATCTGTTTTTTCTCCCAACCGTTGTAACTTTGAATGGTTGCTAAACAAGACAGTCGGTAAGTGAGGACTACTTGTATGTATATAGGAAAAATATTTGCAAAGAATTACTAAAAGAAAGCGAGAAACAAGTCTAAAAGAGAAAATGCAGAACAATTTTAATGGAAATAAAATTAATTTTAAAAGAATGAGAAGGCAGCTAAATAAGGAGTCTCCAGGAAAGGGAATGGAATTAAAAGCAAATCTGATGAAATGAATTGGGATGAAACTGAAATGAGGGAATGCTGGAAGAAACATTTTAGAGGTTTGTATGGGAATGATAGGACAGGAAGGCCTGGCGCGATATGGTTCATGGGGTCACAAAGAGTTGGACACGACTTAATGACTGAACAACATGGGAATGATAGCAATATGTCAAAGAGCAGAATTGCTATTAATGTTAATGCCCCAGAAAAAACTGCCAAAAAGGAAGCAAAATATGAGAATATTGAAAAACAGTAAGGGTGCAGGTATAAATGGTGTAACTAGAGAAATGTTAAGAATTTGAAATGGTTGGCATATGGAGTGACTGTGTGACTTGTTTGATATGAAGATAGCATCTGTCCTTGAGGATTGCAAGAATGCCATTTTTGTTCCCCTCTACAAAGTAGCAACAGTGAATGGAAAAACTAGAGGCATTACTTCATTAAGAAGGGGTCTTGCAGAATTCTGAATAAAAGAATACAGAGGTGACCATGAAAAACATTTGGGAAGTGCAATATGGTTTCATGCCACCTGAGGGAGTGCAGACCAGATATTTCTTTTCAGCAGATCACTGTGAGAAAAAAAAAATGTATTGCACGTGTGTGGATTTTGAAAATAAAGAGAATAGGCTTGAGTTATTCTGTAAGTATAGACTTGAAGCTCGTTTGCTGAATGTGTTAGAGGGGTATATGATGGAAGTAAAACAAGTGTTAAATCAATGGAATGCTTAGCAAATGATTTAACATTAAGCAAGGAGCAAGACACGATTGTGTCTTGGCTATTTAACGTACCTATGAATAAATATATATATGCTGGTAGTGATGGCAGAGGTGTGTTAAATTAGGGAAGTTTGTATGTAGATGGTGCAATGTTGGCTGAGAACCCAAGTGATTGGCAGCAAATGTTAGCTACATTTCATGATGTAGTGAGATTATGAATCTGAAAATAAATATATTAAATATTAAGATAGTTGTCTTTGGCAGAGAACATGGAATGAAAAGTGGCAAATTAGACATAAATGGTAAAAAAACAGAGCAAGTAGATGAATTTATATACCATTTTTACTAAAGATGGGGAAACTTTAAGAAGTGCATAAAAGTAAATTGAATGCAAATGGGGCATGTAAGTTTAGAAATGGGGTCCTTAACTTTGGGTGGAAAAACAAGAAAATAACACATTAAGAATGAAAGGTTGATATATTAAGGCAGGGTTCCTCAACCTCAGCAACTTTAAGATGGGTGGACTTCAACTTCCAGAATTCCCCATGGCTGGTTGGGGAATTCTGGAAGTTGAAGTCCCCCCATCTTAAAGTTGCTGAGGTTGAGGAACCCTGTATTAAGGAGCAGCAACTGGGACAAGAGGAAGACTGAGAAAGTTGTGCTTGATGAGTTCCTCATAAAGAGAGCAGAAAGGTTTAAGGAACAAAAAG